CCCGAGCCTGCTGCCCGGGCCTCGGGGCTGCGGGAGCCGCCGGCTTCTCACCCGCACAGACCAGGTCTGTGGGAACAAGGGTAGTAAAGATCATCACCCTAGTCGTGCTGTTAGTAGGAGTATCATTGTTATTAGTGCCATTGGTACTGATGTTACTGTTTTGTTGTTAAGAATACTACTAATACTGATACAATTACTGTAACTACTGTTAGTACTATTATTACCTTTAGTAGTAGTAGTAGTAGTGTTAATAATAGTACGAATACTATTAACAACTATTGTTAATGATTTTACTAACAATAATACAATTATTGCAACTAGTATCACTATTATTACCCTTAGTAGTAGTATTGTTAAGAACTGTACGAATGCTATTATTAAGAACTATTATTAATGATTTTACTAATAATATTATTGCAACTATTATTATTACTATTATTACCTTTACTACGATGTAGTATTAGTACTATTATTAACAATGCTACTACTACTAATAATGATAATAAAGGTAATAATAGTAATAATAATAGTTGCAATAATTGCAAAAATTGTAATAAGAATAATAACAGCAAGAATACTACTAATAATAGTGTTTCTCATGTTTCCCCGCTGAGGATAGGGGAAGAATAGCTATTATAGTGCCTGTTATAGAGTATGAGAGATATATTGCTATTATAATGCCTATTAGGTACGATGATAGTGATGATGGTAATTATCACTATCATCATTATGACCATTATTTTCCTGGACGTAAAATATTACTTTTGCGTTATTATATACTACGACGTGGGTTCGTAGGATAGTAGTGCTGGAAGGGACCTCACGTAGTCCAGTCCCCTGCTCAGAGTATTATTGTTAGTATTATTATTACTATTATTATTAGTCCTACTATTATAGTAGAATTACTGTTATTAGTATATAGTATTACCGCAGGGTACAGCCTGCAGAGGCCCATACTTTCCATTTAAGAGCTAGGGCCGGAGCTGCTGGTTATCTTTAAGCGTCCGGGATTTCTTCCATTGTTATTTTTCCTATTACTATGAAAGCAAATGGGGAGAAGACGGTGCGGGGTGGGCGAACCGCAGAGACTGGCCTGCGAGCTCCTCGCGGGCCTCGCCCTCCGCACTGAGCTGCCCGCACACAGGAGCAGGAGATCCCTCGGGAAAGGGCAGGGCAGAGGATTTCCGCCGCGGGGGATTCTTCTTGAAATCCGACTTCGGACTCGGAGGGGAGACAGACCGGCCTGACCGCCGCAGGTTATTGGTATCTAACACCGATACCACCGCTGATCCCGCGCATCCCGGTCCCGCACCTGCTAACACCCGCAGATCCTCCCCCCCGCCCCCCCACTACTTAACACTGCCGGCTTTTGCTTGCCAGCCGTGTCCCTGGTCAGGCATGTTATTAAAGCAAATTCACATCAAAGGTAAGATGTTGCAGGGGCGTTAGGGCGCTCTAGTGGCCGCGGTGGTCCAGGACACCTACTGGAGCCGAGGGCTTCTTCTGTTTTTGTAACACCTATTTCTTGTATAGATTAGACAAGCTTTTCGGCACAAATTACCGAGACCTAAAGGGCACTTCCGGATCGAAACATTGTCTAACGTTTCTTCTAACTGGATACTTGATCCAATAAAAAGTATTCCCCCCTTGCCCCACCCCCCAAATCCAACTCCGACTAAAAGCCAATTAATTCTCAAGGAAGATGCTGCTTCGTTTTGTTATAATTAGATGTAAATTAAAGGACAAATGGAAACGCGGTATAAACGTGCGCATAGTCCTGTGGATTGAGGTGTGCGCGCACACTTCCCTCGAGGAGATCAATATATCGTGACTATACTAGCGCACACACACAGACCTGTGCACATCTGCACATACCCTGTCTATTCTGTATATCATTCTAAACAGGCACAGCAGGTATGGGTGTGCACATCTGGGGGGTGTACAAGTGCAAATAGATGGATGAAAAAGAGATCACTTCAAACTAAAGTAGCTAAGGAGCTCTGCGGCCCTGAGATTTCAGGGAATCCTAGACTTCATCATTTCGTTGATAATCTACTTTCTGGGCTCCTCGTGGTGTGACCTATCCAGTGCGGGCCGTGTAAGCCCTTCCCTGTTCACAGGCGCTGAGACCCGGGAGAGCCAGAACAAACGGCCGAAATCCGGGCGGGAGGCCCGGCAGCGATAGGAGGTGTTTAGAAATCTCTTTTCCATTCACTGGATCTACCAGGCTGCGAGAAAAGAAGGAGCAGAGGTTGTTTCCGTCTTTGTAGGTGCTGCCTGCCTTTATTTATTCATTCCACAGGTGGGTATCGCCGCATCCCCCGAAACCTGGGGAAGATATTTCCCTTGCCGTGAAAACCCAGTAGCTCCGTTTCCTCGGACGGCACAGCCTGTTTTGTTTGTTTGTTTGTTTGTTTGGACTTTTGGGCAGCCTGTCCCCTAGTTTCAGCCCCTTCCCAGCTGTCTATTTGAACAAAACCATTGCTAAAATATTTGCAGTAGAGGCGTGACAACGAGCGCCCAGGCGCGGGGCTCGATAACATTGTGCAGCGCAGACAGGCGGCTTTCGGCAGCGGAACTCGCTGCGCACGGGGCCTTCCTCCCCTTGCCCGGGCTAGCCCTGCCCTGGGGCACCCCCGCGCCCGGCAGCTCATTCCCACGGAGGCCAGAGCGGCGAGACCAGTGCCCGGCCAGAGCCGCAGCGGAAGCCGAAACCACAAGGCAGCCCCAGCCACCCCGTCCACAGGCCCAGCCGGGCCGGGCCGGGGGCTTTGCAAGCGCGCCCGCTCCTTTGGGGTCGCAGGGGCCGGGAGGGGCCCCCAGGCGGGCTCCCAAGCCGGCCCTTCCCCACGTGCTGGGCTGGAAGCGGGAGGCGCTCGGGCCGCTCAATGGCAAAACTCCCAGCTGGGGCAGGCTCGCCCCGGCTGCCCCCCAGCGGGGCGGGCGCGGGGCCCGGGGGATGTCTGCGAGCCCACCGGGGAGTCCCCGCCCTGCACCCCTCGGACCCCGCGCCCGGCTGCGGCGGGCTGCCCGCTGCCGCACACTGCACGGGAGGCCTGACCCGGCCGCGCCTGGCCTGTTTGGCTTAGATCGGTATCGACTGGAGCCGGAGCCGGAGCCTTCGTGTTAACTAGTTAATTAGTTAAACTAAGCCGTTGGTATTTGCTGAGCGCTGGGCCGCCACCGAAGTCTGCTCCGGCGAGTGCCAGGCCTCGGGGCGCCCGCCTCGGCTCGGCTCGGCTCGGCTCGGCTCAGCTCAGCTCGGCTCGGAGGAGAAGCAAGTCATTGCCCCCGCGCCGGGCAGGGAGGGAAGTCCCCGGCTGCTGCCGCGCCTGGGGCCGCGGGGTGGGAGCGCCCTGCGTGTCCGCCTCGCCTGGCTTTTCTCCCGCGGCGCGGCGCGGAGCAGCGGGGTCCCCGGAGGGCGGAGGAGCCCGAGGGAGCAGCAGCAGCAGCAGCAGAAGCAGGAGGAGGAGGAGGAGGCAAGTGTCTTACCGGCCCACTGTCCCTTCCAGGCGTGAGATTTGGTGGATTTCATCCAGGGGAAAGGCAGCTGCAGCCTGGGCTCCTCCAGGGCCCCGGGGTCCGACCCGTCGGCGAAGGACAGCGCGTCCTGGTGGGGCGCGGGCAGCTGCGGGTGGTGGTGCGGGTGCAGGTGGGACACGCCGGGGTCCTCTGTGATGGGGGGCACCTCGTAGGGGGAAATGTCCGGCGGGCTGCCCTGCTCCAGCGCCCCCAGCGCGCCGGGGTAGGGCGCGGGCTGCGGCCGGCCCATGTAGAGGCAGGCGGGCGGGCTCGGGTGGAAATCCGGCGCCGGGGCCCGCTGGAAGGCGCACGGCTCCTTGTACAGCGGCGCCGGCGCGTAGTACTGCTCCGCGTTCATGCTGGCGCCGGCCGCGCACGGGCCGCTCAGCTCCGCTGGCTCCGCGCGCCCCTTTGACAGCTCCGCAGCGCCCGCGGGGGCTG